CTGGAAGGGATAAAAGACCTGGCGAAGTGAGGGTACTGACCCTACTTGAAGCTGTTACGCTTCGGATAAGAAAGAAGGGTTCTTAGACTATTTCCCGTCGTAAAGTGTTTGTTAGATTAAAGAGAAAGAGAGTCGCTGCCTGATCAGTCGCGTGAGGGATAAAAGACGGCCATGCACTGGAGGTTAATGACGAAATTTTAGTAATAATGAAAACAAGCTGCTACGGAACAGAAACCTGAACTCCTTCTGGCCTGGCTGAGCTATAATACGGACTGAACGGCCTTTCAGATGTCCAAACTGATTCGCTGGGTAGCCAAGCAAGTCGGCATTAGTATGAGCTAGTTGACCTTCGCTTTACCCGACCCGAGGCTGTTGTGTTGGTGTGCTGTGCTTTCACTGCCTTGAGTTTGTTCGTCCTGCCCACCGCTCTTATCTTGTACAGAACACGGAGGAGTTCCCAACAGGGCTCTCGCTAAGCCTAGGGGATTCCGTTAGGTCACGGAATCGACCCCGTAAATACCCGTTAGCGGACGGAATCTCCGAAAGATTACCCGTTAGCAAACGGATTCGTCGAAAAGCTACACTTGGTTTGATACTGGAGTTGTAACATCCTTGAAGGCAAATGGCCTTGGCTAGGGCTAAGGAAAAGCCATTGAGACCCCGGGGACTGTTTCTCGCGCATACAATGCTGAGCAGTTGGAAGAGTAGAAGTACTCCCGGCAACTATCCTCGCGCTTTGCTTAGTGGAGGAGTTGGGAAGAGTAGAGAGGGGGTTGTGAAGGGGTGATAAACCACTACAAAAGATCTCCTAATGCAATTGCACTTCGTACGGAATCAAAGAAAAGTAACCCGCGATTGTCGAGGAATACACGAAAAGTAATCCGTTAGGCAGACGGAATCAAATGCCTTTTACTATGCAGAAAAAAGGAATCAGGTCGAAACCAGCTCTTAATTTCGTGACCTTAAGAGTAATTACCCTGTTAGCCAGAGCCCTGGTTCCCAATGCGACAAAGCACTCATGGTTGAGGCGTCGATGCGTGGTGAACGACGATCGTCGATTCCTTACCGAAACTCTTCATGGCGTTTCGCGAGATTCGCCGCCCCGGTGGTTGCCCAGGGTAAGGTTACCAGGAAAGTTGGCGAATCGCGTTTGATTTGCATACTTGTGGTGGTGCTGGTCCCTTGTTTGGCCTGGTGCGGGCTCCCTCGGTCACTGGCTGACGCATTTTGAGGCTCGGTCAGTTGTCCAGCTTCGGTTCGGACGCTTCGGCTGGCACGGAAGTGGGTACGGCGGTTTGGTACGGGAGCGCCCCGAAAACTCCTTGCACTGTTTCCCGTCTGTGAAACCGCTCCCTCACTACCCACCAACTTTTTACATTATTTTGCCAATAGAACCAAACTTCATTATATACATCCTCTCTATAAGGAAATGGTATTTCCTTATCACAGGTTTTTAGGGCGTGTAACATTTCTTGCGAACACGCTTCAGAGTCGACCATTCAGAAAGGATCCACGCGGCCTCGTAAGCGTACATGAGATTTATAGTGGAAAACACGTGGTACAATATGGTGGTGGTTCGGTTCGAAACATGTTCGAGAAAATGTTACGTGCCCTTAGTCAGTAAGGCGTACACTAGCCCACAAATTCGTTTTAGGCCAAGCTGATTGATCAGTGTCGATCTAAAAAAAACCCTGAAAATCAGTTTTTGGTAGTGGTTTTCTTACTGGTTGGCCCTGGTTCTTTTGTTTTCAAAGCTTATTAATCAGGGTCGGTAATAAGAGTGTCAAAGAAGCTAGGTAGCTAGGAAGCCATGGAATGGCGTGAGGTTTAGGAAGGAGAAAAATATCGAGAGAGAAGGGAGAAGAATAGAAGAGAAGAAGATACAAAAAGGGGAATAGTCCTTTCTACAATAGGATTCAGTAAGTAGCACAACAACCAAGCCTACAAAAAAAAAAAAAAAAAAAAAAAAAAAAAAAAACACACACACACACATACACACACCCCTAGGCTTGGTAGTGGCAAGCCCATCCCAACCCAGCACCCCATTCCTGCAGCAGCAGTGGCGTCGACCAGCCGGTCGACCCCTCGGCAATCGAGCGGATGGGAAGGGAAGGGCAGAGGAGGGGAAGGGGGAAGGGTGGGGGGCGGATCTTAGCGCGGCACCATGGCGGCGCCATCACTTAATGGCGTGCGGGCGCGCTGGATGCGGCTAGCACGGTGCGCCGCCCGCTGCCGCTCGTACGCTGGCGCATCGACGACGCCACGACAGCAAGACAACGACGCCACGGCTTGACGTTGACGATGCCGCCATGGCTTGACATCGACGCCACGACAGCGCGACGAGGCTGCCACAGCAGCGCATCGAGACGGCCGCGGCAGCACGATGTGTCTGGCGGCACGACGATCCCAGGCAGCACGACGAGCCGCCACAGCAGCACGACGCGACCGCCATGGCAGCGAGAGAGAGAGAGAGAGAGAGAGAGAGAGAGAGAGAGAGAGAGAGAGAGAGAGAGAGAGAGAGAGAGAGAGAGAGAGAGAGAGAGAGAGAGAGAGAGGAGTGCGCGGCGGAAGCGAGAGAAGAAGGTCCAGCAGGTTGAACCAGCTCTGATACGATGTTAAAAAGGCAGGAAGCTAAGGAAGCCATGGAATGACGTGAGGTTTAGAAGGAAAAAAAAATATCGGAAGAGAAGGGAGAAGAATAGAAGAGAAGGAGATACAAGAAGGGGTTAGTCCCCTCTATAGTAGGATTCAGTAAGTAGCACAACTACCAAGCCTACAATTATATATGAAAATATATAATTGACCAAAGAGAACACCCTGAAAAAAACAAAATCGATGTAAAAAAGCCTGATAACTATGGGCCTGGCATACCACTACAATAACGGGGTTGCCGCGCAACTCTGCCACGAAATTCAAATCGCGGTACCCAAAATGTGGCCTCCTGACGAGCCGCATGCATTTTGCCCGTCTTGCTGTTTCATGAAACATATGTGTATATGTTACTGTAGCTAGATAGGTGCGTACTCTTAGAGAGTACAACCTCATAGCACAAAACCTAACGTGTTATCACTTTATAGTGAATTCGTTACTCTAAGATGGAATCATGCGCTAGGTTAGGTCCTCCCCGCCCACCCGCGCTTCCGCTCTAGTCCTAGTCCTAGCCCTAGCCACCCGTCGCCAAGCCGCCTGCTCCTAGCCGCCTGTTGCTAGCCGCCTCTGCTAGCCGCTCGCTGCTCACCGCCGCTGGCCGCCCGTTGCCGTGCCCCCCTTAGCCTCCAGCCACCTGTAGCTGCTGGCTGCCCGTAGCCACCAGCGCCTATAGCCGTTGGCCGCCCGTAGCCGCCAGCGACCCGTCGCCGCCGGCTGCCCATAGCCCCACGATTGTCAGCCCGCGCCCGCTGGCCCAAAGTTCGTTGGCCCCTCGCTCGCTAGCCCCGCGCCCGCCAGCCCCATGCTTGCTGGCCCCACGCTCGCTGGCATTGCGCTCGCCGGCCCCGCGCTTGCTGCCCCGCTCTTGCCGCCCCGTACTCGCTGGCCCTGCGCTCGCCGACCCCACACTCGCCGGCCCTCGCTCGCCATCCCCTAGCTTGCTGGCCCCTTGCTCGCCGCCCCCAGCTGCGCCGTCCCCAGCTCTGCCGGCCCCAGCTTCGTCGGCCCCGGCCCGCGCCGTCGAGCCGCCGAGTCGCCGTGCCGCAATGCCGCCGTGACGCCTTGGCTCTCCTCTGAGCCGGCACTCCCGCCGGAGTGTCTCCACCACTCTTCATCGTACTCCACCGCTCTCCACCGCACTCCATCGTTCCCCACCGCTCTCCATTGCCCTCCACCGCTTTCCTCCCCCTGTCAGCGGCAGTCAGCTACTGCAGCCGTGGTGATGGCGGACTCAGTGCTCTGCCTGGACGCGGAGGGTCGGGCCGTTGATTTTGAGGCATGGCTTGTCGACCTCCGCCGCCAGCTGACCGGTCAGCGCTAGGATGGCCACTCCCTGGCAGTTCATATCGACGATAAGCTCCCCTGCCCCGCTACACCCGCTGCCCTCCCTGACGCCCCCACGTCTGCTCAGCGTGAGGCTTTTACCGCTGCTGAGCTTGCCTGCGCCGTCTAAGAGTCGCGCGACGCCATTGCACAACTTGCCATTAGTCATGCCCTCCCCCTGTCTGAGCGTCCCCGCTTTACCGCTGTAGCAAACGTAAAGGACTACTTAGATGCAGTCATTGCGCGGTATTCTACTCCCTCCTGAGCCTCTGTCAGCCGCCTGATCCTCCCCATGCTGTTCCCTGATCTTGCGCCCTTCCCATTGTAGCTGACCGCGCCACTCACCTCCGCGCACTTGAGACTACCTACTGTGCCGCTAGCATTGAGGCATAGCTCCACTGCTTTCCCGCCGCCGCTTTGCGCTACCCTTTACCTCTTTGCCACGTGCCTTCCTTACTGCCTAACCACTGCCACGACCACTTCCATTGTCAGCACCCAGGTGACCTCACCCTTACTGCCTTTGTCATAGCCCTGTCCGCAATAGAGACCCGCCAGTGCACTATCGCTCAGTCTAGCGGTACTACTGCAGTCCCTATCTTCCAGGGCTGTTCTCCCTCCCAGTGCACATACTCTGACGTTTCTGTCGCTGACCCAAGGGGGGGCGTGGCGGAGGGAAGGGTGGCGGGGGTGGTGGGGGTGGTGGGGGTGGTGGAGGTGGGGGCAGGGATTGTGGTGCAGACGAGGGGACCGGGGCCGTTGCCCCTGAGAAGCTGTAGCAACAGCCTCAGCAGCAGCAGCCTTCGTCGCAGCAACACAGCCTCCGTGGGGGCCCCGCCACGGTGGTGGCAGTGCAGGTGGTGGTGGGCGTAGTGGTGGGCCGCGCAGCTCGGTGTCGAGTAGCGGCTCCAGTGTGGTCACCTGCCAGTACCAGCTTCAGTTCGGCCCCCGCAGCGACACCGTCTGCGACCGTCCTGGTCACACCCGCCGCTCGCTGCTACCGCTGCCTCGACAACCACTTCTGTCTCCGTTTCGGCCCCACGTCGGACCCCCCCCGATTGGTACAGCCTGGTGCGTCTTTGTCTCCCTTTCTTTGAGATTGACATGGATTAGATTAGGCCTGCTATGTGTATGTCATGTATGTTGATAACTCTAGTGTGAATGGACCTTGTTACCTTGTGTTGCTAGTGTAGGTGTGTCCACTGTATATAGTCAAGGTTCCCCTGTTGCGCCAAGCGTAGGACCACGTGCCTTGTTAAACCTCGGCTCTACTCTAGCTCCTCCGCCTGTGGCCGCTACCACCGCGCTCTCGTTCACGCTAGACTCTGGTGCATCTGTCTGCTTCTTTTGCAACTGCACTGCGCTCACACTGCTTGCTGCCCCTGCCGTTGCAGTGCTTGCTGACCCCTCCTCAGGTCCGATAGTTGCCCGAAGCTCCACCACCCTTCCCTCTACGGCGGTTCCCTTGGGCTCTCTTACAAGCTTGCGCATCCCCTCGTTCTCCAGGAACTTAGTTGGTGTTGGCTGTCTTCAGGACTTCGGCGTCACCACTACGTTTCCTAGACACGAGCGGTACACGGTCTGTACCAAGACCGCCTCTGGTGCCCCTCTCACCACGTTCCCCGAGACCTCGTGTTTGGCTTGTTCACCCTAGACACCGCGTCCCCCCCTGTGGGAGCGTCCCCCAAGTCAGCACGTCCTTCTTGGTTGCTGCGGCTTGCTTGTGTCAATCGCTCACCCACCCGTCGCTGCTGTAGCACCACCGCCTAGGTCACCCCGCACTCCCCTATCTGCGTCACATGTCCCATCACGGTCTTGTCTTAGGACTCCCTGCGTCGCTCCCTGCCCTCCCTCCCTCGCCTGCGCCGCCATGCACGCCCTGCGTCGAGGAACGGCTGTGCCGTGCTCCTCACTCCTCCTCGCTTCCCCCTACCACTGCGCCACTCCATACCCTGCACCTGGACGTTTGGGGCCCCGCCCCCGTCCCTGGCCGCGTCGAGAGCGCTACTTTTTAGTGCTTGTCGACGACCACACGCGCTACACAACGATGTTTCCCCTGGAGCGTAAGGTCGACATGCTTGAAGTTTTTATCACGTGGGTTGTATCCCCTGTTCCTGCTCCCCACTCCCCTGGTAGCCCCTGCTCCTCTTCCTCCCCGTCTGGTGTGTCTCACGTCACTCCCCTCCCGTCGGTTGTCCAGGTGGAGGAGTTGGCTGACTCCGGGAGACCTGTGGCTTCGGCTTCACCACTCGTCTCCACCCCGGTGTCTCTTCCTCTTCCGCCACCACAACACCCGATGTCGCTGCTTCAGCAGCAGCAGCCGTCGTCGTCACCGCCGCCGCCGGCGCAAGGGTCCGCGAGCTCTGAGGATGTGGGCATTGAGGAGGGTGCTAGTCCTAGGGGTACTATCGTGGCTTGTCCCGCCGGTCTTGGGGGTGGCACTGGTACTGGAGAGGGTTCTCGTTCTGGGGGTGCTGTCGTGGAGCGTCCTGGTGGTCGCAATGGTGCAGCTAGAGGTTCTGGTGTAGGTGTGGAGCAGAAGCCGCAGTCGCTGCCGATGTCCGCCCTTTGCCTCCTCGGTCTTCCCTCCCCTGGCCGCCCGCCTCCGCCTCCCCCGCCTGTCTACGGTACCGTGTTTCCTCCGCCGGACTCGTCTCCGGCTCGGTTCCCCCCGCATTCTTCTCATGTATCTCCTGACCCGACGCTTCTGTCCCACTTCTGGTCTCGCTGTCCCTCTCGTGCTCGTCCCGCCTCTCATGTCCAACACTCTCACCCTATGTTGATTCGTTCCCATGCGTCTCATCCTCCCCTCCTTCCGTCACCTCCTTCGTCGTCGCTGGTTGTCGTTCTGCCTCCCCTGTCTGACTTCCTCCGTGCAGCTAGTTCTCTTGTTCCTCGCGTCCTCGCCTCTCTTGTTACAGACCCGTCTCTTCCTGTCTTGAGTCTTGACGCTCTTGACGCTGTCATCACCGACTTCAACTCTACCTGCCGCCTTAACTACGCCAATGCTCTGGTCTCTGACCCTGCCCCTCCTCCATCCGTTGGGGGTGGTGCTGCCCTTGGAAGTGATTTCCTAGAGGACCGGCAGTACGAGCAAGCTTTCCTGTCCGAGGCCGCGCATCATCTCTACTCCATGCTGCTAGTCCCTGAGGGTGACCCAAACGCCCTTGACATCCTGACCCCTCGCACTTATGCTGAGGCAACCTTGGGACTCTGGGCCTCTCAGTGGATAGCTGCCGTGACGTTGAGATGGCATCTTGGAGGTCCACCGGCACATTCGGCGCAGTTCCCCTACCTTGGGTAAACGTAGTCGATGGCCGGTGGCTCTTCAAGGTGAAGCGCCCTCTTGGAAAGCCGCCGGTGTTTAAGAAGTGCTACGTTGCTAGAGGCTTCAGCCAGCGTGAGGGTGTTGACTTCTTTCAGACCTTCGCTCCGACCCCGAAGATGATTACTCTTCGGGCGGTGCTACACGTAGCAGCACAGCGTAACTACAAGCTGCACTCTCTTCGAATTCTCGACAGCGTTTCTTCAGGGCACTCTGCTCGAGCAGGTCTACCTGCGTCGTCCGCTAGGCTTCACCGGCACCTTTGCTCCTGGGAACCAGTGGCTCCTCCAGGGCCCGGTTTACGGCCTGCGGTAGGCGCCGCGTAAGTGGCACGACACGCTTCGTGCTACGTTAGCTGATCTGCAGTTCTTCCCGTCGTCAACAGACCTTTCACTCTTCGTTCGTGCTGGCCAGACCCTGTTCTACATCCTTGTCTATGTAGACAATCTGGTCTTTGTTACTGCAGACAGAGATGCACTGGCTTTTGTGATGGCTGAGCTGCTGAGGAGACACACCTGCACTGACCTAGGAGAGCTGCGCCGCTACCTTGGCTTGCAGATCTCCAGGGACAAAGCAGCGTGCACCATCACTCTCACACAGTCACACTTGTTGCACCAGGTCCATTAGAGATTCGGTCTTCATTTCTCCTCCGCAGAGCCCAAACCTCTGCTAGTAGATCACAGGCTCTCAGCTTCAGTCCTTGAGGAGTCAGTAGAGCCTAGTGGTCCGGCGCAGAGCCTATGGGTTTCCTCATGTACGTGATGACTTGCACTTGTCCAGATCTTGCATACCCTCTCAGCACCCTGGCTCGCTTTGTGGCCACAGGCAGACACCGACCACAGCACTGGTTGGCCGCTAAGAGAGTTTTGCGTTATCTAGCAAGTACATCGAGCATGGGGCTAGTGCTAGGAGGACGCATGCCAGTGGTCCTTACAGGGCACACAGAGGGTTTGTGGGCAGACGACACTGAGACTATCAGGTTCTCAGAGGGCTACTGCTTTAGCCTTGGTGCAAAAGCCATCTCGTGGAGGTCCATTCGCTCGTCGTCTGTTGCCCTGTCTAGGTTTGAGGCTGAGATCTACGATGGTGCCATGGCGGCACAGGAGCTCTGGTGGCTGACTTTCTTGCTCATAGACTTAGGTGAGTGGCTTAGCTCTGCCGTGGTCCTATACGCTGACAACAGGGCCACGATCCTCCTGTGTCAGGAGGCTCGACCAGAGGGCAGAATGAAGCACATCCAGTTGCGGTACTTCCCCCTGCGCGAGCTACAACAGCGCCGCCAAGCCCGCGTAGTACACTTGGCCTCTGGTGCCAACACAGCTGATATCTTTACGAAGGCGCTTACGCCTAAAGATTATGTGTGGCACTGTGTCCAGCTTGGTCTAGTTCGTATAGCTTCTCACTTGCTACAGTAGGTCCTTAACGTATACTTCTTATATTATCTTGACTGTCCTTGTTGCTTTTGTTCCAGTGGCTGGACTAGTAGTGCCGCCCTGGGTTGCATCGGAGGACTTTGACCAGATTTGTGCAGAGAGGTACAAATCAGAGATATAACGGATTTCATGGAGGTGCAAAGGGTTGCGGAGCGGTTGGATTCGTTCTTCAAGCCAAGGGCGGGTTCTTCTGACAGAAGTCGCACTCAGGGACCAATCGAGCGTGCCATTGTACACGTTACTACAACACCAAACTCAGTAGTGACTGCCTTCAAGGATCACTGTTTCTGGTGTATCTGGCCAGGACACTGCAAGTCAGAATGCCCATAGGAGCGGAAGAAGCGGAATCAGGGGCAGGGGAGTTCCAGCAACCAAGGAAATGCTTAGTATGAGTAGTTAACGGGCCTAGTAAGATGGAACCTGCTCGCGCGTAACCGACAACCCTCATCGAGTACTGGTACCGATCTACGCAATCGACCAAACTCGGCTGAATAAGGAGGGTGCAGTGGCGGATTAACCCATCTATTTAGAGGGTAGGGTTTAAGGGGAAAAAAAAGAAATATTAGTGGACGGGGGAGCCAGCCACAGTCTGATCAACCTCGCAACGACAAAAAAAATGAAGTTACCGTTAGATATGTGTCTAATGTAGATTGATGCCCGACTCATCGATGGGACCCCCATTAGCAATAAAAGACAGAGCAGACACGATTAGGGTATGCTGTGGAGCTGACTTCAATTTTTCAATGGGGATGCTGACAACTACAATCGACGGCTTCGACATGTTGCTGGGACGGGACTGGCTGCAACGTATCAATCCAAAAATAGACTGGACGACTAGAAGCTGTTCCGTCAAAATCAACAGCTGCGGTGTGACGTTACCAGAATGGACGAAGTGGATCACAGGGGAGTGACGCAGGTGAACTCCGTGGCGATCAAGCGAGCGGTCGCACGGGGCGCAGAAGTCTTCCTGTAGTCGTTCGTGCCATTGACGTGGCATCGCAACCGTCTGAGTTAGAGAGCTGACAGCAGCAGTGCCGGTCGATCTCGAGAAGCTGATTCACATATTTCGGCAGATATTCCCAGAAGACCTGCCTGAGGGATTACCACCGGAATGACCCTTTGACCATCGAGTAGAATTAGAACCGAGGGCACAACCCATATTGCAGCGGCAATTTTGATCAACACAGCCAGAGTTAGAGGAATTACGGAAACAGTTAGATTATTTACTTGAGAAAAAATTCACCCACCCCAGCTCCTCACCATTTGCCATCCCCATCATTCGCGTTACCCTATCTCGCGCGCCGACAAACTGATCGACCAACTTCGCAAAAGCTCGCTTCTTCTCGGAAATCAATTGACGAGGGGGTTACCATCAGATTCGCG